ATCATTTTGAATTTTATGTGGCCTCTTCCTTGTCGAAATCCCAGTGAATGTGGTTATGTGATGCCATCAGAATGACTCATTGCCATAATTACATATGTTCTAAGGGGTTATTCCCATTGTATTATTAAAAACTAGTGATGTTTGATTTTTGGCAGGAACTGTCTTCCTTGTATGATCTACAGATTTTGTCAATTAAATGAAGGAAAAATAAATTTCCAAGACTTCAGAACAAGACTGGACTTGTAGTCAGAGCACTTTTTCGGTGTGGTATCGAGCTACTTTGTTTTATTTAACAGGATAAAGGCAACATCAGCCATCTTACTCTTCCTTGTTGCTGTGATTCCCTGCAGAGCACAAAGACAGGAGTGGGTTTCCTAGCTAGCCTTCGAAATCATCCCAAGCATGGCCAGAGGTACTGTAGATGGTTTATCACCACGTAGTTTTCCCAACTCAGTTCCACGGGGATAGGTTTTCTGGGATATAGCTTACAAGAGTGGGATGCGGGGCTCCTTGGCAAAAGGCTCCAGGTTTGACGGCTCCTTAACAGAAAAAAACAAAGCCATCCCAGATATCGTTGCCTTGGATCTGGAGTTCCCCAAATGGCGACTGAAAGCAACAGGGGAAAACTGGAGGGAGGAGAAAATCGAGGTCAAGCAAAAAAGGCAAGAAGGACTTTGCGAGCGCGGGCTGCCTGCCTGGCTCTGAACGCGCGCTGCAGACCTCGCAGGAATTAAGTGTTTGCTAGCAGTCGGGGAGCTAAAGCATTCGCATATAAATGTTTTACTCCTGTTATTTGATTTTAATGGTCGTGAAAGGTGACTTCTTTTCTGGGAAGCTGCTCATACCGCCTGATGCATGTTAGCCCGGCGTGTTGTAGGATTTGACGTGGCTTTTCGCAGGCCATTTCAGTGGTGAATGGCAGACGAGGTTCTAACCAAGCATTTTAGCTTGTGCTGTAAATAACGCTGTGTTGTCTACCAGCTTGCCTCTGTTTTTTTTTTTTTTTTTTTCCGCTAGGATCCTGCTGCTCTTCAAAAATCATGGAGATTCTGGCAAGCAGCTCCATCTAAACTGTGATTTGGCATTCAGTTGGGTATAAGACATTATCATGTATGGCATTGGTGTGATTCATTTATGGTGACTGGTTAAATACAGCTGGTATTTCTGTAATTTTAATTGAGGTTTTTTTTAAAATGTTGTGCCTAACATCTCTCTCTGTGAAGACTATTGACTTAATAAAAGTCTGTAACTATATATAAAATATCCCTTTTAGTGTTCTCAAACAATGTAATCCAAATAATAGTATTAGGGTTAACCTGTTGCACTATTCTACTCTATTTCCTTTAATCAAAGCTAAGATTTCTTCTGAGTGAGAAACCATTTAACGTAAACATGAACTAAAAAGTATATACATTGCCTCCATCTCCATGGGGGGTAGAAAGCTAGTAAATTATTGTTTGAGGAGTATGCGTGCATACATTTAACTTGACTGTAACTGATGAAAAATACAGATTTATATTACACAGAGAGGATAAGACCATAATACAGCCAACCTGTGTTTGGTGAAATTTGTCTGCTTTGCCTCCTAAATCCCGATGAATGAGATAGAAGTTAAACAGTTCCAAGCCCACGACTGTAAGCTGTTAATACATTATTCCTTGCCCTTTGTTCCTCATTATGTGGCATGAATTACCCAAAAGCTAAGTAAAATGCCTAGGAACTATGCTGCAGATTTTGCGTAGAATTCTTTCCAGAGAATAAACACCAGTTTTTTCAGCAGTAAAAATGAAGACGTTTTCTATGCAACAGAGTTTCTGAGGAGGATCTGTCTGTCTGTCTGTACATCCAGTAACTCCTTCTCCAGTTCAGAACAAGGTGGTCAAAGTACAGCCCACGAACACGCGCGGAAGTCGGAGCAGCAGCGTTCCCATGCCACAATCCGTGCAGGGACGTTTGGCTTCTGGGCGCAGGCAGGAGTTACTTACGAGAGGCTCTCTCTAGACATTTTTGATTAGACTCCAGTTTTGGTGAATAAAGCAAACAGAGCTTGTTCAGCAAACCCATTTATTTATTTATTTGTTTAAAGAAGCATGTTTTACAGTGATGCGATGGAGAGAACACCACAACAGATTTTATTTAATGGGCTGAAAGAGAGCGTTCATGTGCATGTGAGTTAAGATGACATCAGCCTATCTGTGGAAATCACCGGCTTGGACTGTTAAGCTCAGCATGCAAATCACATTGGTCAAAGGCGAAATGTTTCTAAATTCATAAATGAACCAGCTCTCTGGAAGTGTGAATAAGCACAGTTCTCAAGCTGATTAAAAAAAAAAAAAAAAAAAAAAAAAGGAAAAGAAATTGGATTTATTTTTTATGTTATCCTCCTAATTTTTCTAAAACAATTTAATTTTAAAATCACCCATACTGAAAAATCTTGGATTTTCTTAATATGCATTTTAAACTTTCCTTTGCCTTTCTCCCTTTTTCTTCTCATTTTGCTATGAAAAAGGAAGAAAGAAGGGAAAAAGCTACAACAGAAAGAAGTTTGTCAGTTTTTCTAAAAAACTCTAGAGAGTTCTATAAAATAGGTTGTTTTGATTTGTTATATGCAGTTTAGATTTGAAATAGTTGTGCTAATATTGCCATGAGTTACCGTAGGGAATCCAGTCAGTTAACAGAGCCTCCGTGTATAAAGCCTTACTAATGCACTCTCTCTTTTCTCTAATCCTTGTTGAGAACTGGACTGAGATACTGCAGCAGGAGGGAGGGAGGAGTCGTTTATGAATTAGCAAGCTGAGGTTCATGAAAGGGTTACTGATTATTGCTGCTAAAAAGCGGAAGGGAAAAATGGTTCTGCTTACATGCAACGCCATGGCACAAACAGAATACTTATCTCACAGACTAGCTGAGGCTAGAAAATAAAGTGAGATCTGATCTTTCAGCTGGGAGGCTTTCAGGAATCGTCTGAACATGATCCATAAACAACTCGAAGGATGACATTTAAGAACCTCTTTCTCTCTCTGCTTGGTATGCTGGTCGTTTATCATTGTGCTGAAATGGAATCCCCTTTAAAAGATGTAACGGCTTCTTGTTTACTTAAACACAAAGTGGATGATGGGCTGAAAGGTGCTGCTGCCGGCAGAGCAGTCCCCGCGAGCTTGGTACAGCTCCGGAGCTGAAACAACTGCGCAGCTCCCACGTTCTGCACTGAGCCGGACCAGCCGTGAAGCGACGAGAGAGTTTCGGTGTCCCCGCCGAGGCCGAGTCCTCGGCGGGCGCCCCGAGCCACCGGCTCTTCTCCAGAGAGGAGCAGGGCTGCCGGGCGCGGGCTGGTGGGGCGAGCGGGGGGCTCCCCCGCAGCATCCCTGCTCTCGCTGCCTCACTCTGCCCTCCAGAACCGCGGCGCAGAGAAGGTGGTACGAAAGCAAGCACAGCCGAGATTGTATTCGCCAGGTTTAGCTTTGGGGTGAGCTTTTCCCTGCCCATCGCCTTACCAGGGGAGCTGGGAGCTTCAGCAGCACGTCGCTGATCCGCCCCGGGCACGTCTCCGGCAGCCACAGCACCTCCCCTGGCTCCGTCCCTCGGGGCCAGAGGGCTTTTGCAGAACTCTAGAGGAATTAAATGTCTGCACATACTTACATCGAGGAAACGCGTTTTAAAATGTAAGGGCAACTGAGCAGCATGCCACCTCGTGACACTGCCGAGGGTGAAGCTCTCCGTGCAGGGAAGGCAGCGTTCATGGGTGCCCCACGCGGGTCTCACCAGGTCCTCGTCCCGCACGGTGCTCGTCCCGGTCCCTCTGCCCGGGTGCCGGCTCTTGCAAAGCAGGAGCACTTGTGCTGAATCCAGGGAATTCCAGTCGCTGGCATGCAGACCAGTAGTTTCTACCAAACTTAAAGGTTTGCTTCTCTTCTGCAGAGCCCGAACCGTGCCTTCCCCCTCCCGCCTGCCTTCCCTCCTGCTACGCGCCCGGGCAGTGTCCGGGCGCACGGACGAGCGTGTCCCTAGCCCGGGATGGAGTCCCGCAGCTGTGACTGTACGAGCGGAGTCACAACGTTTCGGCAACCTGCGGTTTGTTGTAACCTCTCATTTTCTCAGTCTGCTGCATGTTAACTGGATCCTTCAGTGGGAAATTCCTCAGGGGCTCTGCAGAGCACAGCTGGGGTCCTGCGAGCGCAGGACAGCTGATTTGTGGCTGCAGTGCAGCTGGCAACATTTTCTGGGATTTTCTTAAAGCTTTGGTGAGTTTCCCTTCCACAAGTGAGTCTCTGTCCTGTGGGACACCAGCCTCCATAGGGGCCAAGGCATGAACCACACACTCAGGAAGCTGGTTGTCATTTTGTTTTTTGTTTTTTAATTTGAAATAACTCTTTGAAGCAGATTCAGGGCAGATACCACTGACCTCTTACCACAAACGTTTAACATGTATTCGCAATGATAAAGTCATACAGCTTAAAACACAAAATAAAGGGTGGGGGGGAAGAGAAAGAGGCCACTGCCTGTGTGCGAGTCCGGGGCCCGGGTCGGGGGGAGCGGCCGTGCGGGTCCAGTCTCATCCCTCTGGCTGCAGCCGCGCTGCGCCGGGGCCACGCGCCCGGTCTCGAGGCCTTTGGTCATGAAGTCTCACGTCTGGGTCCTTTGCTGGCTCATACTCCACCTCTCCTCCCCGCAGCGTCCCCCGCAGAGCCCTGGGGAGGTGGGCTGCCCTCCGGGTGCGCTCCCCCTCCTCTGCTCGGCAGCATCCTTCTGTGATCCTGGATGGCGGGTGTGTGTGCAGCCTCCTTAAATATCGTCTGTGTGGTTTCTGTCGGGTCTGTGGGTCGGTCTGGGAGTATATGTCTGTCTTTCTGGACATGTGTACGTGTTTGTAGCAGTGCTCTGGTTCAATAAAGCTTTCATATACATAGCAGCAATGAAGTCTTGCCATCAGGTGACGTAAAGGGGCAGCTACTGGGCAGGGCTAGCGGACGTCGCAGGGACCGCGGCCCCTCTCTGTTTGCTCTTCCTCTTCTTGGTGCCAGACTTAGCGTCTTTGGTGTCTTTCTGATTTCTGTTCCCATTTGTGTTGTCTTGCTTTCCTTGCTCTTCCTTTTTCTTCTTTTTCCCTGCAGTGAAGCAAAGGGGCACCGTGAGGCTCTCCGGCAGAGCGAGCTGGCCGGCGGCCCCCCAGGGCCTGCGCCCCTCCCCACGCCCAGGGGTGCCCGGGAGCTGCCCTGTGTGCCGGGCTGGGCCTTGCAGTGCGAGCCGGTGCCTAAATATAAACAGGGAAGAAGGATCAAATCTGGATTTAGCTTTGTAATTGTCGGTCTCCAGCAGAAGCGTTAGCACTTGCATTTCTCCGCGGCCGCATACCAAGCCCCTTAGCTAACGCACGCTGCCCGGTGCATCAGAGGAGCAGACCAGCCGTGTCTGCCTCCCCCTGCCCGGCTGTTTAATCCCTGTGCTGTTACTCACCGCTCAGAACCAGTTTCCCTCAAAACACTCAACCCAGCTGCAATCCTCGTCCACCCCATAAAGCGATGACCAAACCACCATTCATCCTGAAGACACGCTAATTCCTGGGAAAAACACAGACCTAAGCATTCTGGTCGAGGAGGAGACGACTCCCACAGCCGCGGCGCACAGGCGCGCACCTTCGGCTGCTCTGCCGCCCTGCTGCGCTCTGCCAGAGAAGCAGCTGAAGTACCCGAAAGCGCGTGGGACACGCGGCAAGCTGTGCCGAGCATCACCCGCCCGGGGGGCCGTGCCACTCCCGCCCAGGGGCCTTCCCAGCTGCCGTCCCGTTGTGTCCCCTGCACCGCGGAGGGCACGGAGATGCGCAGCGCGTTTGCGGGGCCGGACACCTGGCTGAATGCTTGTTCCTGACAAACAAAGGGTGCTGGGGAGGGGCGGCGAGGTATTCCGCGTCTGCTCACCTTCGGGGCACTGGCTCTTCTGCACAGTGCATCGCCGCACCTCTGTGGTGGCAGGACACAGGGACACGTCTCCAGAGGGAGCCTGCAGAATCCGCCGCGTTCGGTCTTCGTTGCCCTTCTTGAAGCCACAGAGCTTCCTCTTCTTGGAGCAGGGCCCCCAGGGCCCCCACTCACTCATTTCACATTGTGCTGCCAGACAACAAGAGACGCCAGCAGTAACTCTCGTTTCTACGCTGCCGCCCCAGGCCGTCCCGGAGCCCTTGCTCACCACCGCACCTCTCCCCCACGCCAGGCCCGAAGGGCACCTGCGTTTCCCCAGCAGCCTCCCAGCTTCCCAAGGCACCCCCTCCCTTGCTGGGCCACACGAACCCTGAGTCACGCTTCACAAACGCGCGGCAGCAACGCCGGGGTGCTGTTCCCCGTCTGGGCTGGTTTCCAGAGGGCTCTGCCCTCTGAAGGGCTGGGTCTGCCCTGGACCATCACCCGCTCGACACGGGTATGATGAGCCAGCATCCCCGAGGGGATCGTTTTGTCACCTAGCCCAAAGTGCAGCGCTACACGCGACTGGACCCGGCAGAGGCGCGGAAAGCTCCGCGCGAGGTGCCCGAGCGTCGCTTACCAGGACTGCTGCACTCCATGGTGCCGTTGGCAGCAGAGTAGCCTTCGGGGCATGTGACGTAACACCTCCCTTTGTGCAAATACAAACCTTCCTTACACTTTGTGCAAAAGTTTCGACTGAAACAGGACTCACAGTTCTCAATTTTGCATTCTGGGGAAAAAAAAAACAAACCACAAAGCTGTCATGTAGTCTGATGTGAGCGAAAGACTCAGGAAGCTCTTGGCTGCTAACCGAAGTTCGCTCCTGGCTCCAAGGGGTCTGCCAGCAGCCAGGGCAAGTCTCTGAACGTCCTGCCAGGCCTGGCTGTGCCGCTCAGGTAGAAGTCGGTTTTCTTTGCACCATTCCCTGGGACAGGACAGAGCCACGGTGCTGCAGCTCTCACAGCCAGCAGCAGCCGCTGCCAGAACACAGGCAGGCAGGGTGGAAGAACTTTGGGCTGATGTTCAGCTTGAGCATCAGTCAGCCAAAGCGGGACAGTGCAAAGAATAAAGTCCCGTATCAACTGCTCCAGCTGCAGCTATAGGGCTGCAAAGAAACGGAGTTAGACAGAAATCTGGCCGTGAGGGTGGTTTGCATGAAACTGCCAGGGAAGTGATCACAGTTTTCCATGTCCAGCTCCTTTCTGGTGCTCTGGCTGAAAGAGGCAGCCCCAGGCCAAGGATCTCGTTCAGAGAGCTGCTTGGCTACGGTGAACAGGCAGAGGAGAGAAGAAAAGGTACTTGAGTGAGCAGTACCTTAAGAGCTGAAAGGATCTCCCTCCTCCTCCTTCCTCCCAGCGAAAGAGGGTGCCAGTCTGGCAGCCCAGGTGGCAGAGCTTCCCAGACGTCCCGCAAGGTGCCACGTCCGCAGCGTAGCTCTGCGGTGCTGAGCGTGCAGCACCGGGGTAACCCAGCCCTGAAGGCTTTGCCGGTGGCTCTCTGCTCTGAGGGACCACTGGTCCATCACCACCCCGTGCCCACAGCACGGAGAGACCCACAGAGGCTCTCAGAGAGTGGGGAGGCCAAAACTCAAGTCCAAACGTGCATGGGAGGGCTGATGTGGGGGCACTGGGTGCTCGCCTGCCCTCCGAGGGCTCTCTTCAGGGGGCTGTTCCGAGGGAAGGAGCGTGCCGGCCTGGCTGCACGCTGCCCCAGCTGCCCCAGCTGCACAGCACCGCGGCGGGGAAGCGCCTGGGCGTTATCCAGCCTCGGCAGGATCGCTGGGGCTGTGCCCCGGGCAGCCGGCTGCTCTGCTCAGCACCGCCACCTCCCCTTCGGTACAGCCGCAGCGGCCCCTCGGCAGCCCCCGCCCCGGCAAAGCGCCGCCGCCCTCCCGCGCCCCTACTCACTGATGCACTTGTTCATGTCTGTATTGCGAAGGCCGAAGTATCCCAGCGGACAAGACGGTAGGCAAATCCCAATTTGCCGGATATCATTCCTCTCCAGAAGGATGAAGAGTTTGGGGGAACATCTCAGGCACCCATTGAACTCGGAGCACAGGTCGCAGCCCCTGGCGCAGCCCTGACTCAGCTCGGTGCTAACTGGGAGAGCAAGAGAGAGGTGGCGGTCAGCGCCCGCCGCGCACCGGCACCGCGGGCGGGGAGGGCAGGGCCGGGCTCCTGCTGCGCGGGGGCGCTGGCCGCGGCTCCCGGCCCCGTGCCCGGTGCCCCCGGGCGCCAGGCACCGGCGCGAGGGGAGCAGGACCCCGAAGCGGCCACCGACTCTTCGCAGAGTCCCGGCGCCGTGTCCCCGGCAGCCCCCAGCCCCCCGGCCCGTCCTTCGGCACCGCCGGGTCCCCTCCCGGCGCTGGCGGTGCCACCCCGCCGAGCTACGGGCGCGCTGCGGGACGAGCGGGGCCCGGAGCCGCGCGGTGCTGGGGAGAAACCGTCTGAGTAATCCTGCGCTGCGCCTCGAGCCAGCGTCCCAAGGTAGATCTTGCTCTGACCCCGCTTATGTTAACTATATCTGGCAGTGCAGGAGATTTCACTGCCCCCAAAATAGAGATGTGTTCTCAGCTCCTAAATTCAGTCCAAGAAAAATACTCAATCCCATGTCTTGAGAGTTTTCTGCTTTTAATTATCATATAAAATGCTGCTTGTTTTGAAACCAATAGCATTCTTTGCAGGCTAGAATGCAGGTTATTTTTATTAGTTTATTATGCAAGCAGTGTCCTTGTTTATAGAAAAGCTGTGTATTTAAAAAAATGTATTCTTTTAAATACTGTGTTTACTACACTTCAAAAGCAAGCACGGAGCACCACAGTGTTCACGTGCCAGACTGAGAGGTAAGAAAACTTTCCTCTCCCCCCGCAGTGACCCGAGGCCCCGGCAGCTCCCCTGCTGCCTGTCCCAGCCCCACCGCCGGGTCCGCGGGCGCGGAGGCTGCCGCAACCTCTGCAAACGAAACGGGAAGCAGAGGTGGTCCCCAGCCCCGCGGACCCTCAGTGCCCGGCTGCCGGGTCTGGACTGGGACCTCCCCTCGGCATTTTGGGCCCTGGCCCCCCTGTACACAGAGACCCCCGGGGGTCCGGCCCCATCCCTGCCGCAGCGCTGGGCTGTGGTGCCAAGGTCTGCCTCTGTGGCGGAGGTATAAACTGGGCCCTCGCTGGAAACTGCACTTTATAGCATTAGCCATGACATTAAGTTTTCCTCGTTCTCACAGGGCTCAGCAGTCCCAGTTTAATATAAAATAATTTTAATATAATTTAATTTAAAACAGTTTTAATGTAAAACAGTTCTAAAACTAGCTTACATAAATGAGGGCAAATCCATCTGGCTGCTCTTGTGCCGTTTCAGCCCGGCAGCCCTGCCTGCGCCCCGAGCTGCGAGCGGCCAAGGACCGTCGGGGCTGGAGGGATCATCCATCCCCCTGCCCTCGGGTCGCCCCACGGCCCAGCACCCCCAGCAGCTGAACGGGCCCCCGGGCCCGGCCGCTGCCCGGGGCAGAGCCGGGGGGTCCGGGCGGGACGGGGCGGCCGGGGGGTGATGCACGGCTCGTGCCCACACGTGTCCCTTCCTCCTGCGCCTCGCTTCTCCCGGGAAGGTGCCTGGCGATGGTGGGGGGCCCGGAGGGTCGCGCAGGACTGCCTGCCGGCTCGGTGCCCGCGGCGGGGAGGGCGGGCAGGGGCCTCGGCTGCCGGGGCGGGGAGGCCGACCCCGTCCCGCTCCGCAGAGAGGAGAACTCCTCCGGCCGCCCGCGCTGCCGCGGGCACCCGCTCAGCCGAGGGCTGCAGCCCCGGGGGCCGCGCTGGCCAGCCGGTCCCTTCCCCGAGCCGCAGGCTGGGGGGGCAGCTCCCCAGGTTAGAGGGGGCAGCTGCCGGCCGCCGGGGCAATTCCCTGCGGCTCGGGGCTCTGGCAGGTCCAGCGGGACAGGGTAGTGCACGTCTCTGCAGCGGAGCAGGACTTGGGGAGCTCGGAGGGCTCGCGGGGCACCCCAGGCTCTGCCCAGCTCCCTGTGTCGGCAAACACATTCACCATCTCCACGAACCGTACGGCATCACGAGAAGCAGAGAAGAAAAGCGTTTCATACATACTTCGTCTTTGCCTCTTGCCCTTCACCACTTTGCTGCTGCCCGTTAGATCCATCGAGCTGAGAAAAACCACCACCACAAACAGTCCAAGCTGCATAGTAACTCTCCAGCGCTGCAGCCCCTCTGTCGCAGGGTGGTCGGAGGAGCCCGCTCCACAGCTGGGGGTCTCTCTGCTGCCGCTAAAACGTCTCGGGCGGGATCAGAGCTGAGAGTCTGTGCACGAAGCCTGGTACGGGACCATATCCACAAACTACATCTGCAACAGCAAGCTTAGGTAGCAGGTAACATGGCTCTACCTTCATCCCCGTAAGGAGCGCAGGAGCTTGGCTCTAGTCCCATCTGGGGGCTCTGGCAGCGAGCGTTAGCTGCTTGCAGTTTCCAAGTGCACTCGCAGGAACTGCAAAGGAAGAGGAGAAGAGATTAACTCGACGGTCGACATCGCTCCCGTCACAGCTGGGCTCGGCACCGCGGCGGGCGAGCGCGGGAGCTGTGGGGCGAGCCGGGGGAGCAGCACGCAGGGGGTGCAGGCAGATGGCGGCACCCGGCGTGGCATGGGGCAAAACGCCCTCCAACCTCACCCACAAGTCACTGCATTGCTTAACAACAGTCAGCACACATAGAGCCGCCTAACACGGCTTTGCCATCTGCTGATGCTGCGTACAGTTATAGCTGTAACTTGTTTAAAATAGTGCCAGTCCCCCTCGGCCGCCCCTCCTCGAGCAGCAGATGGCCTCTGCGGACTGCCAAGCTCACAAGATGTTTCCCATCAAGTGGGCACCTCTGGGGCTGGTAGTCGAGCCAAGCAGAAAGCGAGCCTGCAGTCCCAAGCCGGAGACGGGGCTGTCTGGGGACGGGGCGGGTTCGTCCCGCGAGCTGCCCAAAATGCTGCGTTTCTGCTCGGAGGGAATTTCCAAACCTCCCAGCTCCGATTCCCCCAGAGTGGCAGGGAAGGGTCAGCGCTGCCTGCGCAGGCGGGGGCTGTGCCGAGCGGGGCGGCTCTGCCCGGGGCTCGCCGGCTCCCGCCGCCGGAGGAAGCCCTGGCATTCGGCTGCAGGCACCGCTCTGCCCTGGCCAAGCAGCACCGGTGAGTTGCCCGACGTGTGTGGCAGGACGGGGCGACGAGACGGCAACGCCGGGAGGACAGGCTGGGCAAGAAGCCCACTGCTCTGCACGAACTTCTTGGAGAGCAAAGGGAAGCCCGGCGCAGCCGGGAATTGCCGGGTGGTGACCCAGCGCCCAGGGCTCGGGGCACAGCCAGCCCGCCAGCCGCCCCGTGCCCCGTGTGAGCCCCCGCTCCCGGCCCTGGGGGAGAGGCAGCGCGGGCAGGGCCCTGTGCTGCTCCCCCGGGAAATCCCCCGGGGGGCGGATTCCTGCGTGCCCCATGGCTGGCGTGCAGGACGGGCGGCCTCCGGGCTGCACCGAGAGCGCTGGCACGGCCAGGCAGGGCCACGCTCTTCTCTCTGCAGCTGGCAGAGCGAAGCCCCGCCAGCGGCTGCCATTGTGTGGGAATAAAGGCGACAACATTCACCCTGTGAAGTCAAATGAAACAGAAAATGGTTTTAATCCCTTTATAATAACTGCGCAATCGCCGATGCCCCACACGGCCTGTGGCAATGGTGCTGGAACGAAGCCTGGCCGCAGCCCGCGCGCTGCTTGCGGGATGGACACGGGCCCCGGGGTGCCGGCCACCTCCCGTGCCCACCGTGGGGTGGGGACCTGCCGAGGGGCCACCGGCGGAGCAGCTCCCCTGCTCCAGCCCGGCTGCAGGGCGGTTACGGCGGCCGGCGGCACCTGGAGTCGGCTGCTGCGGGGAGACGTGGCCCGGCTGCAGCGGCTCGGTCCCCGACGCCGGGACGTGCCGCGGAGCGGGCACCTCAGCCCGGCTTCGGCTGGCGTGCGCCGGCGAGGCCCCGAGCCATCGGGCACGGCAGAGCGCTGCCGTCGGCCTCCCGCCCCCATGGCTTTAAACTTTTCACCGTGTCCCTGCCGCAACTCTGCCGAGCGCTGCTGGGGCAGGAGCACAGCGCTCCCCATGTGCTTGTCGTTACAGCCCACAGCTCATCCACAGGATTTTCAAATAAATAATTAGTTGCTTGTGTAAACACCAACCCGTTCTGCACTTCCAAGTCTGTTTGCTGCAAGCTGCTTTATAAACACTGTCAAGTGCTTAAGCTGGGCTGTTGGGAGTGTTTACCAGAGCGGAGAGCTGTGCAGAGTGGGGATCCCCCGGCAGCCCCCCAGCCTGGCTCCGCACCGCGCAGGGACCTGGGCACGGCGCGGGGCGAGGCAGCACAGGCAGCCGAGCCAGGGGGCCCTCGGGCAGATGGCACAGCATGGCACAGCATGGCACGGCACGGCCAGAGGACCCCGGGGATGCTGGCTGGCGCGCGGCGTGGCCCAAACTCTCCCGATTAGTGCCGAGCAACAGCTGTGCCCAGGGAGCACGGCCCGGCCGCCCCGGGCTGCCTGCCCCTGGTTTTTAATTACAGTGGCTTTGCAGGTGAAGCGCGTTCGCAGGAAGTACACGCTGAACCCGCGCCGCGTCCCGCCGTGTTTACACAACACTCAGTTGAGGCAAAGTCCCCTCGGTGCGGGGACAGCAGCAGGGATATTCTTAGGGAGCAAATAGAGCCCTGGCGTGCCAAGAGCCAGCGTGAAGCTTATGCTGCCGGCACACAGCCCTTCTCGCAGGGCTTGTTCAGTGCAAGGGCAGGGAAGTGCCATGGGAACCCTTGAGGCCACAACACAAACCAGACAAGCACACACTTTTTCCTCCTTGTTTCCTTGCTTTCTAGCCCAAAGAGCGCCTGGGCCCCCAGCCACAGCTGCCCACTCAGTGCAGAAAAGCCACCGGCACCCTGGATGCTGAAGAGCCGGGGCCAAGGCGGGTCACTAGCAGGAGCCCCGCGTTTCAGAACCGCCCGGCAAGCACCGTGTCTGCGGCGTGCCCACCGGCAGAGGCTGCAGCAGAAGGGCCGGGCTTCCAGCTCTTCCCACCCTCACCTCAGGACACAAATTGTGATTCTTTCTGCTATTGCAGCCATCAGTCAAGCTCAGGTTGCTGCAAACAATTTCCAGTCTAAACATTAGCAGGATTTATGCCATTATCCCATCGACAGGAAGAATTTGGGGCAACCTGAATTGCTCTGAATTCATTTATGGAGAGACCTGGCCCCTGCATCTGAGATGACAGTAAGCCTTGTTTGCAATTCAGTCAGGATAAATTGGTCCTTGGGAGCTCCAATACAAACCAGAAAATGTAAACCATCCAGATAATTTACCATTAGTCCTCCTACACACAAGGTGAGAAAGACCAACATTATATCCCTGAGATATTCGAGACCTAATCCGCAATAACTAAATTGCTGATATATTGCCTCTTGCTGAATGAATCAGGCTATCTGTAATGTAAACGGGCTCTCCAAAGGTTTACTGAGGCTGGGAGAGAAGGACCAGATGCTTGTGCAAGGGCTGGAGGCAGGATAAAGTCCGATTACAGCAGCAGCAGTAATGAACCCCCGGGAACTGCCAGGTCGGCAGCCAAGGGCCAGCTGGACATCAGCTCCGAGTGCGGGGAATTCGGGTTTCCAGGTCCTGGAGCTGGATGGAGAATCTGGATTCCCCTTGGTAGTCTGTTTGGGGGCACGAAAACACGAGGAGAGCAGGTTTCAGAGTGTCTTTCCCTGCAGGAAGAGTCGTGGTTTTGGAGGGTTTCACCCAGGTTTGTCTCCCCACCCTGCACCCAGTGGGCTCGGCCGTGGGGGACAGCCCCACCGGGCCAAATCGCCCCGAGCACCCCCCAGCCCCAGGGCAGGCAGAGTCCGGCCCCGGGGAGGTTGTTCGTGGCAGCAGCCAGCCCCACGCTGCCCACAGATTCCCCAACCTGCCTTCGGGCAAGCTTTCAACAAGCCCGTCAAGTGATGGTACCGGCACCGGGGTATCAGAGGCGCTGGGAGGGGAGCGGGAGGAGGAAGAGGAGGAGGAAATGAGAGTGGGGTGCTAGGGAGAGCAGGGCCACACGCGAGGATGGGGTCCGTGGGGCGTCCTCGCTCCCAGCACGATGAGCTGCTGCCTGGTGTCCGAGGGTGACAAATCCCAGCGAGTACTGGAGTGGAGATAAAGGAGACTTAGGCAGAGGTGGGAGGAGACGTGCTCCTGCAGACCAGCACGGGACCAGCCATCCCCTCTGAGGGTGGCACGGCTCCCCAGTGCCCACCAAAGCCCCCAGGCCAGTGCCAAGCCGCAGTGGGATGGGGCGGTGCTGGGGTGGCCCCCTGCACCCTGCGTCAGGAGGGGCTGCTGCCACCGTGAGCCGCCCGCACCCTCCCCAGTGCGGCCCTGCCCTGCAGAGCGGCCTCGGCGGGCGGCAGCAAGGGACCGGGGCGCAGGGGTGAGCACCGAAGCGCCTTCAACCCCGCGGCGCCGCTATTCCTGGTCCACAGGCCCACAGAGACGTGCCCGCGGCGCTGGTGCTCCCCAAACCCGATGTCTGTGCTCTGGCTGCACCATCCCTCCTGCGGCGGGGACCCCCGTGCCGGAGCTGCCTGCCCGCCCGGCCAGCCCCGCAGCGGGAGGGAGGCGGCTCACGCAGCCTTGGCAGCACACGGCGTGCAGCTGTCTAGCAGCACTGCGAAACCCTCCACGGGAGAGGGTCCCACGCGCGCCGGGCTCGGCCATCGTGGCTGCCACAGGGTGTCTCACGCGCCTCCGGCCGGCAAACATCTCTGCACATGCACATGCAGAGCCACTTTGTTCTGCTTAATCCTTGAAGCAATAAAAGAAGGCTGCATTAAGTCAAATTTCCGAACCAGAAGGTCTTCATTTGATATTATATCCGAGTGCCAAGTTCTGCAAAATCCCTAACCCATAAACTTCACTGAAAAAATAAAATAATAAAAACCAATCTGGCAGCAGAGTTCTCCACAGCATTGTTGAGGTCTGACTCCTTCCACCAGCTTCTGCACTGCATTCCCCGGATCTGCGGAGCCGTGCTGTGACCCGCTAATGGGGAATACGCCGAGGAGAGGCTGCTGCCCACGGCCGCCCCGCTGCCCCGGCCTGCCGGGGGGGTCTCCCCCGAGCTCGCCCGCAGCAGCACCCCCAGCCTCCCCGCCAGCTCCAGCCCCCCGCTCCGCTCAGCACCAGCTCCTCGCCCGCCTCGCACAGTGCCCGGCACAGTAGCTGCTCCAACTAACGCTGCAATTAATAGTGCCACAGGCCTCTCTCCAGGAGCGCTTGTGCTTCAGCACTGTAAAACATCAGGAAATTTTTTACTGGGGGATTTCCATTACCCTCTCGCTAGTGCAGAGAGGAGACATACTGGTTTGGAGGAGAAGGAAGCAGCGACGCCCTGAAGCCCGCTGCAGGCTCGGCGTGTGCTGCTTCTGCACAAAACCAGAGCAGCATCTGAAAACACACCGGAGTCATCCCAGCAGGCACAGCCCCGGTGCCACAGGCTGGGAAACTGCCTGGGGATTCAGCTGCAGTCACCGAAAGAGCAAACCTATTTCTGTTAGGTACAATTTCAGGTAGGTTTAAGCCTCCCACAGTTCGGTAACTCGCCAAATGCCAAGCAGGGACAAAAGGCACTGGAACAGCAGCAACAAAAGCAAATTTCAGACCAGGAATTGCAAAACAGTTCATTTCAGAGCAACGCAGACCAGGGCACTGAAAACCTCACTCTTCCATCAAAAGGGCTCCTCAACAACCCCAAAGGCCCTCTTGCCATGCGGGGATGTGCTCATTCCCTGGGGGTGCAGAGCAGATGCACACCGTGTTAGTGTACAGCCCAGAGACCCTGAGCAGGGGGCTCTAACGCAAAATGGGAAGCACAGCCAGGGCTGCAAAGGCTCTCATCCTACATGGGTGTGCACACGTTCAGCTCGATACCCAATTCCCCTCTTATTTCAGTGTAAAATGTGTCCAAACGAGGACTTACAGCAACTTTCCACAACTGACTCTAAATGGAGGCTTTTTAAAAGCAAATTTCCAGGGCTTACAGGAGCCCAGTGAGTCACAAGCCACTGTGCTAATCAGCTTCTCCAGGCAACGGCAGAGATGGGGCCGGGAGCAAAGACCCTCAGCAGCACCGGGGGCTTTCTGCTTGGCCATGTGCACGGGAAGCATCTGCCAAGTGGGAGCTTCCTGCAGGGATTCCCAGTGCACTGGCTCTCCCACCGAAACGTCACTGCCTGGGAAACCTGAGCCCTGCAGAGCCAGGAGCAGCACTGACTTCAGCAGCACAAGGAAACCCCACTGGGAAAAAACACCGGCAGCCTCACGTTTGGCCGTGGGGCCGGACGGGGCGTTTGGTTGGTGGGAGCGAGCAGGGCAGCCCGAGCCTTCCCCGGAGCAGCTGCAGCTGCAGGGCTGGCACAGGCACGTGCCAGTTCTGCCTTTCTGAGGGGTGACAGCCACCCGCATCGCCAGGACAGGGGGACCCAGCTCTGAGCTCTGCGGAGCCTGGCATCGCTCGGGGCGGTTTGCAATGAGGAAGGTGCCGCAGCCAGCCCAGGACACCTGGCTGCCCACCAGCGTGCGGGGAGGCGGCAATCCAGGGGATCGTCCTCGGAGGCAGGCGGTGGTGGGTACGGCTGGGAGGCTGTCTCTGTGTTTGCCAGGTCTCAGGCAAAGACAGGCACTTCCATCCTCAGGGAGACGACCGGTCTCCCTCACGCAGCCCCCGCGAAGGTGTCTCTGCCGGCCAGTCCCCCCCGCTCCCAGCTGCGTGGTCCCCACTTTCCTGCTCCGGGGCCATCCCCACGGGCTGGGGGAGGCTGACCTGGCCCCAGCTCTGCCATGGGTGCAGCCTCATGGCCCTGCAGTGCAGGCAGGGAGGTGCTCTGCCAGCCCGGCTCTAGCTCGGGCGATGGGAACGTGGGGTTCGTGCCCTGCTCTGCCGCTGCCTGCGCACGCTGGCATGGCCAGCTTATTTCAGCGGTGCTCAGGGGGTCACGTCCGTGCCCTGCACCCCCGGCTCGCTCCCTGCCGTGTCCCTCAGGGTGGTGCTGCTGCTCTCGCAGCAGCCGCGCTGGGGCTGGGGAGCTGATCCAGCTGAAATGAGCCTTTTTTCCAGGGTGGTTTCCAGGCATGTCGCAGCGCCGGCGTTCCCAGGCCGTCCTCCCACCCAGCCTCTGCGTCCCCTCGCAGCGGAGACGGGGGGACCGGGCAGTCGGGAGCTCGCCTGCTCCGGGGTCATGGATGGCCTTTGGACAAAATAATTCAAACTGGAGAACGCTCCAGGCAGATGTTTCACTGCAAGTGCTGGGTCCCCGCGGGATCTCAGCCTAAACCTGGCCACCACACACAGCACTGTAAGAACTGCCCCAAGTTCACCCACCTTCAGGTAACAGGATTTTTTGCACTGGTACCTGCCGACCTCTGTGCAGGAGAGGAAAGGCTCCAGGCTTGCCATGCCGCGCAACATTTGCTTCTGCCAGTACTACCCTATTTTAATGCCTTTTACTGTAAGGCACCCCCTTCAAACCCAAACCGCCTCACCTGAACACCCCCTCAGCTGTCTCCAGGGCCGTTCAAGGGAACGCACATGCCTGAGCCTACAAGAAACCGCAGCAGCCCAGGGGTGACCGTTCCCCAGCCTCTTGCACCCGCCTTTCCCAGCACCCTGGCTCGGTCGGTGCGGAGGACCAGGACAGAGGCTGAAATGTCACCTTGGCCCGAGCCCTCGGTGGGGACCCGCGACCCTGCCTGGCTGTAGCAGCCCCGAGCCCTCGCTAACACACAGGCTCGGCAGCCCAGCGCCGAGATCCAGCAGCACTTCCCCTGCACATCAGCGTGGGGTGTTAACACGGACGTCTAATTCCTACCATGATCACTGTTAACCATTTCCCCACTGATCCCCATTCCGAAAAGCCAGAGAGGACGTACTTACCCCGCGCTCTCCAGGTGCCTGCCGTGCCCCCATGGGTGCCGAGCTCTGCAGGAGGCTGAGTTGGGCGCAGCCACGACAATATCAAGACAGCAAGTGCTTAACTGCCTGGTGCCCTCATTGCTCAGCTCGGGCACGCTCCTGGCTCTGGAAGGCAGCGGGAGAGCAGGCAGGGCACTGCAGCCCGCTGCGCAGCTCACAGCGTCTGCGCTGCGGCCGGCGGGACCCTGGGGCTGGTCCAGTATCAGCAACAAACTCCAGCGAACTGATCAATGTTGCGACTGGCTCCCCGTGTCCCCTTCCCGGGTCTGGGAAGGTAAAACAGTGGCAGGGGACAGCACGCAGCAGCCCAGCTTCCCTGCAAAGCCCCACACACCTTGGGGGTGGGGGAGACGGGGATCCCAACAGATCGCGCTGTGATTTCTCACAGCTTTCATTGTCTGAACTCATTATCCACATTGCACAAGGCAAACCCGCAAGTCGGATGCTGACAAGGCTTGCGTTCCTCATTAGCAGCCCACATTGCAAAAGCTTCATCTAAACAAACATGCATTCTGAAACCCTTACCTCTGACTTGTCACTCCCTCATCACTGCTGAAAAGACTCTACTGGTTTCTCAGTTTTAAAATACTACAAGACCAACTACAAAAATCCTCGGTTCCTCCAGAGAAAGTTACATACACGTTTCTGTCAAAAAAAATGAAAAATATATTCATGGCGAGTTCATGGAGAAGTCTGGTGCGTTTGGGTCTGGGTATATTGTTCACTTGTTTTTTAAAGCAGGTTTCTAACAGCTTCCCAGGTTTTGCGCAGAGAAACAAACCCTTCTGTGATGTGCAGGATTTCAGCTCGTAAAGATCGCCCAGGCTAGTTCATACTCCATCAGCCCACGCTGCTCCCTGCGTATGCAAAGCAGAAAGTATGTGATCATATCAGAGCAATTTGCACATTAATAAATCCTGGTCTCAATGCCGTAGACTCCATCCCCATCCACCGGGTAGGGGTTTTTTATTATTATTATTACCAGAGTATCCAGCTTTGTAAAGGCATCTAGTGCAAACTCCTGCATGAGGGAATTCCACCCCACTAGTACCACCTCCTAAGACAATATCCAGCCAAAATATTGTGACTGTTGCAAAACCCGGACTGGAGCTCCACAAAGGACCTTCCAGCATTGCATCCAGAGCCAACGGGGTCTCAGTAAATTACTGCAGAATGACACACCATCTAGTTGTCTTTGTAGTCTTCTTTATTTATGACAGTTAATTCTGAGTTATTACTAACATTTCAGTGGTAACTGGCGTATGAAGTCATCAGCTGTCACAACTGCATCTGTTAATAAACATGTCAAATATTAAAAGCAGCTTATTATCCTCTGGAGGGGGAAGGCACTAAGGCGAGCAGCTCGAAAGCCTGGTTATTTTTCCATCTCTGGCTGTGCAGCAGAAGGAAATGCTCACGCTCGGGAGAACAGCGTGGGGGCAGCGAGGCTGCGCTGGGATACCTGCCCTTCATCCCGCCCGGGCAGCCAGGAGCGACCCCCCCCTTCCCTTCTCCCCACTGGCCGGGGTGGCCAGGAGGGGTGCGGGACGGAGCCCTGCTCCGCGTGGGCGCACCGGGGAGCGCCGAGGCTCGGGCTCCTTCCCCGGGAGCTGCCACGGCCGGCGAGCCGAGCAGGACCCGGCCTGGGCACCATCCGGCCACTGGCCCGCGCCAGCCTTCGTTCGGCAGCCCCGGCTCGCTCGTCCCCCCCCGAGGAGGCAGAAGGGCCCCAGCCCCGGGGGAGCCCCGGGGGAGGCGCAGGGGACCCCCATGCCCGCTCTGCACCGGGGGGCTCAGGCGGGGAGCTGGCGCTGGACCCCGCACCAGTGTCTCTCTACAAGCCATGAACAGGAACCGGCGTCTGCCTCCTTCCCGAGCGGCCGTCAGTGCCATGGGGCTGGCAGCAGCGTGTCCCCGCACGACTGACACTCGTGGGGATGATGTGGTGCCCGCGGCCGGGGGGCTCTGCCGAGAGCCCTAGTGCCCCGGCGGGTGGTCCCAGGGGCACAGCTGTGTGGCCAGCCCCTCGGGTGCCGTGCCCCTCGCACCCCAGCAGTCCCCTGGGGGGGGGGGTTGTTGCTTCCCTTCAGTGCCCCCAAGAGCCCGGGGGGAGCGTGGGCAGGTCACACGTTCCTGCTTTGCGGGGTGGGGGCCCTGGCCCACCCAAGGGTGGGCTTGGGAGGACACAGGGGTGCAGTGGGAGGGATGGCAACATCTGCCCCATCCTCCCTTCCTCAGCATTTCAGACCATCATCCCCAGTCTATGAGGACGCAGTGCATCTTCTCCCTGCCTCGCACCACCCGCGCTCTTGGGCTCTGCCCCTGGGGGTGAGGCTGCTGCTCCTTCACATCCACCTTCCCTCTCTCGGTAATCTCAGACAGAAAGCTTGCCCCTCTCTAATGCTGTCCTTGTCCAATTGCCTCTGGCTTCCTCTGGCTGAAGGTGGCTTGCAGGCTGTGCTTTTTGAGGGGTGCTGGAAAAATCAGTGGCAATATCTTCTAAACTCTCTACATGCAGGTTATTTGGCCATAACACAAGGTAGTTTCCTTAAAGCCCAAACCAGTGGCCTGCAATGGGCAGGAGCCAGGGACCTGCAGAAGGAGATGCACCAAATGCTCCATCTTTACCTTCCCCCTTTTGGGCATCAGCTTCTCCAAACATCTGAACATGTTTCAGTATTTATTTTAGGTGTAAGATCCACTCAAGCAGATGCCATCATTCTTCCGTAATGAGTAAAATTCTGCCTTAGCTTCCAAGTGTTCCTAGTGGCAGCACAGGACACCATGCTGCAGCGCTCACAAACGTCTTGAAGCAAAGAGGAGCAGCATTATCTCCAGTCGATGCTCCCCAAGCTTGCAGGGCTCCTAGCTGGAAGCCGGAGGGCACAGGCTCTTCCAAAGGCTGTGACGGGCCCTACGGTGGCTCCTGAATGTCCCCTCGGGTCCCTCGCTGGAGGGGTTCGGACACTCTCACAGATCTGTGGTCTTCACACTCACAATCACCTCTGCTTTGCACAGCGCTCGCGCGGGGGCAGGTAAGAACACAAAGATGCAAAATAACCTGAAACAGGCAAGAAGGGAAATTCACCCCTTACGCAGGTTTTCCTTTGAGTTGTGTTTGTGTTAATGCACATGTACATGGAAGTTTTATTCATCCTGAATTTGCTTTGGCACCTCATTAAATGTCCTTAGTTTCCTACTTGTAAACGATATCTTCTGAGAGCATTGCTATCTCACAGGAGCATTAGTGAACGTGTTTTGAATATTGGGCAGATGCTAAGCGGTCACTGTTGCAAGTCTCAATATTAAAGACCTTTTCTATTTATATTTGGAGCTTTTTTACATTCTATCCTAAGAAATTCTGAAGTACCATCAAATGTTGCTCTGGGACAAAATTACTTAGTTGACTGTAAGAGTAAAAAACCCAATGAACCAAAGATCTTGTATTTTATGCTTGCATTGAATAGCCAAACCTTTTTCTTTCTAATCTCTCAGAGCACTGCAGCTCCAGTTGACAGCTGTAGATCAAGTTTCAGTCTGGAGCAAATGTTTATAACTGAGCAATAAACCCTGAAGACAGAGCTCTATAATGGCAATGCTGACAAACCCAGCTGCAAGAATAGGGCTACCGGCCACATCAATAATTAGTGAACAGAAAAGTGTATCTGACTGAAGGCAAAGGAGACATGCTTGCCAGCTCCCTGGTGTTAGAAGGTATCATTGCAGGGGACAGTAAATCACACTAAATCCTGCCTTAACACTCTCCACAGTAAATCCAGCATCAAGTGCCACATTTCTTCTCCTTCTGACAGGCAACTAATTTACCGTTTTGGTTTTCTTTAGCTAATGGACGTTGAGGCTGATCCTACATTAATCCTAAACAGGCCGTTTCTCTCTTGTACAAAAGGACACGAAATTCCATGTTTTAGCAGGCTAAAAACGCCAAGCAGCTCCAGATTGGAAGCAGAGCTGCTGACCTGGGAGGCTTTTCCTGCCGCCCGCCGAAGCCCCTGCCGAGCAGGCGCCCAGCAGCCCGGGAAGGTCCCGGCTCCCGGTGCCGGGGAGCATCGCCCACGGCCCGCAGCGAGCGCTCGGGAGCGCGCCGTGCGGGCGGAGGGGCAGCAAAGGGGCCGCCTCAATTCACCACTCTCGGTTGCGTTAGGTGGAAGAGCAAGCGGCAGGCCTCATCCTGCACGCCTGGGTGACCCTGCCCGTTCGGCTCCAGCCTTCCCCCGGCCGGGCTCCATGTCCTGCTCTGCGCCAAGCCGGGGGCAGAGCCTCGCTCCCCCGTTTCTGCAGAAGAAGCGCCGACTCCCCCACATCCCCCCTGCCCACCGTTCAAGCCTGCGGTTCCCCTCCCCATTTAAATCCTGCCACCTTTTGGTCTGAGTTCATCCCTCTTGGGTTCCTGCCCTGCATCCCCCTCTGCCCCTCTCGGCCATTCCCTCACGGAAAGCCCACCCTGTCTGGGAACCACGGGGACTTCCAGGCTCGGGCTGAGCTGCCTCCTGCCAGGAGCCGCATCCCTCAGCCTCGGGGTGCAGCTGAGATCGGGGGGGGCCCTGGGGCGCAGGTAGGGTCTGCATCCAGCATCGCCGGCACTGAGCACCACAGCTTCTGTCAGACCCAGAATCTGCGCCCTCGACGTTAACCCTGTGTGCAGGAGGCAGGCACCAGTGCCTACAAGTTCTCAGCTGGCACAGAGGGTGCATTACTCATTCCTGGTGCCTCATCAGCCTTTGATAATATCTCAGCATAAGCAAAAAGCAAAAAAGACGCTTGCCGAGAAAGCAGAAGGAAAGCAAGAACGTCCTGAAGTTGTCTCTGACGCTCCTAGCCTTGACCTGCAGCGTGCTGCTTCTCTGCACCCTGATTCAACACGGGGGTCTGCTTCTCAGAAGGCTTATCTCCTGCAGAATGATTGATAGCCTGGGCAATTGTTTTTAATAATATCTGAACACCTGCAGCCCTCAGTGCCCGGTAATACAGTTATCCCAAGTGCCTAACTTACTGCGTAAACAACTGCTCTGGTTGCAAAGACAACTATCGGGTTCCTGACACAGGCTGCACAGGCTGTGCGGGGGGGTCGGGCAGAGGGGCACGCAGGATCCCGCCTTCCACGGGGAGATGTGGGAGCGAGAGGAAGGGGAGCTGACTTTCTGAGAGGGTCACCCAGGCAAGCCTCTTCTTCCCAGGCAGAGCAAGCAAGCCGGGGCTCTCGGCCGGGCAGCGGCCTGTGCCGGGGAGCACTTCTGTCCGGGGGCGTCCCCGAGGAGGTCACCCCGCTTTGGTGCTGAGCGCCCGCGAGCTGCGCGGCCGTGAAGGTGACTGCAGAGGAACGCGCTTTGCGGGTGAAGGAAGAGCAAGACCCGTGTGCCCCAGCCCACGCCAGACGTGGCGCGGGCAGCCTGCCGGGAGCCTGCCTGCACCCCCACACCCCCACGGGCAGGTCAAGAGGGGTCGGCGGGACCCACTTGCTTTGTGCCCGCCAGGCACGGGGCCGGGAGGCAGAGCTCGCCTGCGCGCCCCGGAGAGCCACCCTGCTTTCAGGATCTCTTTCACGCCTGCCAGGTTTTCTGACACTGCGGCTCGCACAGGCTGGACATTTCGCCTCTTTCCAAGGAGCGACGTTATGCGCATGTTGGAAAATGCTCCTTTTTCATTTGCTTCGAAGGCCCTTTTCCCCTGTTGTTTAAGGAATGCTGTTTGAATTAGCTCCACGGATTGCAAACAGACCCCGTTGTTTTCCTTTCCCAATGCAGGGAGGCTTCTGTTCTCTTTGGCCTGCTGGATTAACCAGGGGGCCTCACACACTGACCCCTCTGCAGCTCAGGGAAGCTAATTTAATCCCAATATTGTTACAGATCACAGCAGGATGGATCTCACAGATTCCTTGAGGCAAACCAGCACTGAGCTCTGGCAGGGACAGCAGTGTTCTGTGTAGAGGCAGGAGCTGCTACAATTTTTCTGTAAGATTTCCTCTAACAAAGCTTCTGAGGCTGGGGAGGATGGTGGGATCACCCTGGGCACAGGGTTCCAC